GGCGGAGGGAAGGTTCGCGCACCCGGGCCGGGCCGCGTGGAGGGGCCAGGAAGTGCGGCTCTCACCCGCCTCCGAGCGAAAGCCGCGCCGCGGGCAGAACTGATTTCCCGGCCGCTACGCGTCCCGTGCCTGCCTCCTGAGCAATCGGGTCAGAGGCGTCTCGGCGAAACCGGAGGACTGGGTTTATCTGTAATGAGTTTTGTCCCTTGGCTCTCGGTGGAAAGAACTTGATCGCTAAGACTTCTAAGCGTCCTATTTCAATCCCCTTTTACGTAGCTGCTAAAAGTAGGGGAAGCAGGCTTTTGAGTAAACGTGTAATTGAGCCAAGGTAATTCGCTCTGTAGATTTTTTGCCTAATTTTTTTGCCTCTGTTTAAAACCCATTTTGACGTGTTAAGCGTGCTCCTACCGTTTACGCAAGGCCCCCACCCGCCCAAACATCCCAAGCGGATGCTAAGATTTCAAATAATATACAGATGTTCGATGATCCTCCCACAAGATGTGATTAGGGAAGCAGTTTCACACCCACACTTCCAAAAGAAAAGCCTTTGAAAAGTTATGTTTGGGATGGCAAACTAATAAAAGCCAGGAAGTTCCCAGGGAGGGCCCGAGCCCTATCTTTAGCAGAACAGGGGTGAGCACCCTCTCGCAGGGTGGGGAGCAACAGTTTGTTTGCTTTGGAATTTGCTCCTTCCTGGTTTTGTTGGAATCGCGACTCCCCGTGAAGTGCTTGCGAGGGTCCATTTTCTGGACAGTGCTGTTATTCAGCTCTCCGACGGGAGCTTGGAGAGAGCTTAGAATGTCGAAAGTCTGGTGGGCTGATGTTGTGGAATTTGAATCACAATAGAAGGGTGGGCATCCCCCGGGGAGCTACAGGATCCTCCCTCTGTAAAATGGGCATAACAAAAGCTGCGGTGTGCGGACTGCTTGGTATCTACCTACCACGCCAGCACTTTGCTGAATTCTTTCCGCTGACCATTTGTTCCGGTAACAAATGTATTTATCACCTGCTATGTGCGGGATGTACTGTAGATACAGCCGCACCAAAAAAAATACGGGAAAGGCCCAAAGCACATGCTTAGCCTCACGTGGAGCCCTTCCTAAGGTCCGTTCTGTAAAATTCCATTTCCCTGTATTCTAGATAGGAAACGGGCTAAAAGGAGTGAAAGGTTGGATGTCCAATGAGTAACAGAGCTGGGAACCTGAACCGTGGCCTGCCTGCCTCCACAGCAGTGGAATGGCAATGAAATGATAGCTTAGAAGCGCTTTAAAATGTGACCTGGGAATGACAGGTATTGGAAGTTGAGGAAACCTTACATAGGTTTAGAGAAATACCATCACTCTAGTGGTGCAAAAAGCCTAATACTAAAAATTAGCATCAAAAAGGGGGGCAAACAGAAGACAGTGTAAAATATGAAAATTAAACTAATTTATAAATTATCAAGGGTTCAGCTAATACCAAGGGCTCAAGTAGAAAGACAATGTTTTGGAAAAGATGATGGCAACATATGTATAAATGTGCTTGATACAATTGCTGTATGGGTTCTTATAAGAGCTGAAAGAGCCCCCGATAAAGTGATTTATTAAAATAAATAATAAAATAGTATAAAAATAGGCCTGGGCTGGGAACAAACTATCCTTAGAAGCACCTTTCCGTAAGCTATGACTAAGAACTGTCTAGATTCTGGTAGAAAATGAATGAATGTGTTTGCATTTCTTCCACAACCAATTACAAAGCAAATCATACAGAACAGAACAATTACAAAGCAACTCAAACAGAACAGACAATGTACTGGTAGCTTATAAATTGACAATAGCCCTGGCATCCTCTCACCTGGTAAGGGAGCTTATGACAAAAAACTAATGGTATTGAAGGATAAACTACAAGCTGCACTGAAGGCATTTGTAACAAACAAGGCTCCAGTAATCGACAAAATATCAACTGAGATGTTTCAGCAAACAGATGCAATGCTGGAAATGCTCTATCGGTGCCAAGAAATTTGAAAGACTAACACTGAACCAAACAACTAGAAGAGAGATCCATATTTGTGCCCCTTCCAAAGAACAGTGGCCTAAAAGAAACAGAAATCATTGACCAATAATATTAATATCACAAACTAGTAAAATTTTGCAAAGGATAATTCAAAACTGGTTGAAGCAGTATGAAAACTGCCAGAATCTGAAGAGTACTTAAAATAGAGAACATGGTTGATGTTAGGTAGATCCTGACTGAAAGTGAAGAATGCCAGAAAGACATTTACTGGTATTTTTGTGACTATGGGAAGCCATTCGACTGTCCAGGGGTCCTCAAACATTTTAAACAGGGGGCCAGTTCACTGTCCCGCAGACTGTTGGAGGGCCGGACTATAGTTTAAACAAAAACTATGAAAAAATTCCTATGCACACTGCACATCTCTTATTTTCAAGTAAAAAAACAAAACAGGCCAAAAACACCCAGTGGGCCGGATAAATGTCCTCGGCAGGCCGCATGTGCCCGGTGGGCCATAGTTTGAGGACCCCTGGATGGGTTAATGTTGGACTTGCAGGCTTGGGCAGCACTGGGTTGGGATGTTTTCTTGATGCTCACTTACCTTTATATAAAACTCTCTCTTATACATGAGTCGCTGTGGATTTGTTTCTCTAAAGTACTAAGACTAACAAACCCGTACCTAGACTAAGAGGCAGTCATTTGAATAGAACGTGGAGACACTGCATAGTTTAAAATCAGGAGTGGTATATGTCAGGGCTCTATACTTTCACATACTTAGTCAATCTGTATGCTGAGCAAATAATACGAGAAACTGGGCAATGTAAAGGAGAGCACAGAATCAGCTTTGGAGGAAATCAGGATAATGAGATTAAACGAATTTGCTTGCTAAAAGCAAAGAAGACCTGAAGCACTTACTGATGAAGATCAAAGACTACATGCAGCCTTCAATATGGCTTATTTTTATCTGTATCAACATAAAGAAAAAAAAATCCTGACAACTGACCCAATAAGCAGCATCATGATACATGTGGAAATGATTGAAGTTGTCAAGGATTTCACTTTATTAGCTCCACAATCAACTCTTATTGAAGCAGCAGTCAAGAAGCCAAATGACATCTACATTGGGGAAATGATGTCAAAGAGTAATCATGTTCACCGCTGTAGTAGTCACAATAGTTTAGAGATGAATATAACCTAAGTGCTTATCAACGGATGAATGGATAGACAAATTCTGCTACATTCACACAAGGGAATACTACGCAACATTAAAGAGTAGCAAAATCTGTGAAAGATCTCAAAATGTTAATGAATCAGAAGGACAACATGCTGAGTGAAATAAGTTAATCACTAAAGAACAAGGATTTTGTGAGACCACTATTATTCAGAAAAACTTTTTTTAATGGCTATTTTTACTTTCATTATTTTTTTAAAAGTTTCATCAACATATACATCACATAGCATACAATGTTTTCTTCAGTTATACTAAAAAGAATCACCAAAATCAATTTTAGAACAATTTCTTCTTATTGTTGCTAGCTCCCCACTTCCCCCCAACCTCCCTTGCCATGCCCCTAGTTCATTATTAATCCAGTTCCTGTCTCTAGAGATTTGCCTATCCTGGATTTCATATACAAAAATTCATAAGAAACACAAACAGGAAACAAAAAAA